CCGGCCCTGCCACGCTGCGCCTGTTGCGCCTCCAGCATGCGTGCCAGCTGCTTGCGCAGTGCTGCCGCCTCCCGCAGGTTCTTAAAGTGCAGCGCGTGGCGGCGGCAGAAGGCGTCGTCCTCGCCGGCCGCCTCAAACGCGCACAGCGCACGCAGCGCGCTGCGGGCAGCGTGCGGGGGCGGGGCGGGGCGGGGCGTCACGGTTTCCAGGCATGGCGGGCGTGGAGCAAGGCGGCAGCAGATAAATTGATGGGTGGGAACACACAGGCTGGAGGGGCCAGCCAGCACGGCTGGCCTGAATGCCAGGCTGGCAGCAAGCGGGCTGGCAAGAAGGGCAGAGACGCCGCCCTTACCTCAGCGCATCGCTGTCTGGGACGCGGAACTGGGCGTGCGCCGCGCGCGCCGCCTGCCGCTTGCCCCTGGCCGCCTCCCGCTCCGCCTGGCGCTGCTCCCGCCGGCTGGCGCCCGCCCCCTCCTCTCCCTCCTCCCCCTCGCCCTCCTCGCCGCCTCTCTCTTCGCCCTCGCCCTCCGAAGCAGCCGCGTCCAGCCGCACAAAGGGGCTCTCCACGCTCAGCACGGCGGCCAGCGCCACAGCATAGGGCAGCACGCGGCGCGGGCCGCCGCCCGCCGCCGCCTGCGCCTGCTGCGCCTGCCCGGCCTGCTGCGCCTGCTGCGCCTCCGCCTCCTGCGCCGCCACCTCCAGCAGCATGCGGGCGTGGCGCGGGCTGATGGGATAGGCAGCCATGGCCCGCCCCAGCGCAGTCAGCTGGCCGCTGCCGCCGTCCAGGGCTGCAGAAGGGGGAGAGGAGGGGGCGGGGAGCGGCGCGGGAAAGGTTGGGGGATCAGCCTTGAGTGGCGCGCTGCGGGCCCCACACAACACAACACACAGCACACAACAGCAGCAGCACACCGCCCCTTCCCTCCAGCCCCCCAGCCGCTCAAGCGGCTGTGCCTAAGCACCTCCTGCCGCCTCCCCCGCCCTGTGTGCCTCCCCTGCCCGCCGCACCCGACAGCGCCACCAGGCAGCGCTCCGCGGCCGCCAGCGCGGCCGCCTCTGGCTGCGTGGGGAAGGGGAAGTTGGCGGGTCGGTCCACGCCCAGCGCCTTGAGCGCCAGCACCACGCCCTCCAGCGCTGTGTTGAGGATCTCTGGCGGCGTGTGGGTGGGGAAGGTGTCGTTGAAGTGTGCAGAGGAGTAGAGCCTGTGCGGGAGGGGGTGGGTGGGAGGGGGCGCGGGGAGGGTGGAGGGAGGGCGGGGCGACAGGGCGAGGTGAGGGTGAGGGGCGGGGGACGGGCGGGTGAGTTAAGGCGAGGCAGGGCAGGGCAGGGCAGGGCAGGGCAGGGCAGGGCAGGGCAGGGTACGCTGCGTGAACCACACCCGCCGGCCAGCGCCAGGCAGGCAGGCAGGCAACCAAGCAGGCACGGAGGCAGGCAGTCCCGCCCCCCAGCCACCCCTCACACACACGCCCACCTGTAGCAGTGCCCGGGCCCCGTGCGCCCCGCGCGCCCCGCCCGCTGCTCCGCCGATGCCTTGCTGACCCAGCGCACGTCGTAGCGCGCCAGGCCGCCCGCGCCCTCCAGCAGGCGCTGCTTGGAGCGCCCCGCGTCCACCACGTAGCGAATGCCGGGGATGGTGAGGGAGGTCTCGGCCACATTGGTGGCCACCACCACCAGGCGGCGCCCCGCGGGCGGCGGCCGGAACACGGCCGCCTGCTGCGCCGCGGGCAGCATGGCGTACAGCGGCAGCACGTGCAGCGCGCCCGCCTCCTGCCGCTCGCCGCCCGCCGCGCCGCCCTGCTGCCCGCCGCCGCCGCCTTTGAGGTCTGCGCCAGGCAGGGCAGGGGCGGGCGGGGGGGGGGCGCGGCGGAAGCCGGCTGGGAGGGGTGCCGCAGGCGGGCCGGGCGCAA